GGGGCATTAAAAAAAAAGTAGTACCAGCTATGATTTGAACATACATTTCATGAATGCATAAATAATAATCCAATAATATAATATTTATACTCATTTAAGATCATTAATAAACATAGATTTAAAAAAGGAGTTATTCTGCATATCGAGAACTTTTAACTGAAGTAATTAATTGAACTATAACCTCCAATGCATTTTCAAAAGCCACCAAAAAGTCTCATAAAGACATCATTTTCATGACATTCGTGTGTGGGAGTTAACATTACGAATATATAATATAATATAATATAATTTTACCATCAAAACCAAGTAAATCCACTTTGATCATAAATACAATGCAAACCTTTAATAGGGCCTCAGTGGAGAACCAACATTGTTTCTACATCTAAACGGTTACTCTAAAGTTCAATCCCCACAACTGCCTCCCTCTATGCATTTCCTCTATCTCAGGAACCATGATAGTGCACTTCCTCACAGAGCCAACAATGAAGACTCATATTCAGGCAATTTGTCTGACAGTCAGCAGCCTGCAATTACCTGCCGTTTCTCACCATCAGGGGCCACACTATGGCCTCCTTGTCAATCACAAGCCTCTAATATGTGGAGATGAGAAGGCCTTTGACACACACACACATACCTACACATTACATTTACAGTAGATCTTTCTGACCCTGCTCCCCTCTACAGTGTCACTACACACACTTACTGTATACAGTGCTGTCATGTACTGATGAGTTTCTGGCTATAGAGGACTCAATAAGTCACATGAGACTGTTCTGCTCCGTTTGGCATTATTCTTCCTGTTTGCTCTGCCTCTGACAGGAAGACGGCCAAGAATCCTACACTCAGCCAGCTAGAAAAGAAAAAAAACTTTACATGAAAAACAGACATGACGGTTAACTGCATCTGTAGCAGCAAATGCTAGCACATGGTAGGAGCATAGGCATAGATCACTAAGAACTGTGTGTACATGTTTACCACAATAGGTTGAATAAGAGGACAGAAGAATAAGCTTTACCTCTCAAAAAGTCATGTAGATGTGTATCCAAGACTTCAAACACCATCCCAAGATAACTCTACAAATATTCCACTCTAAATTATCACAGAAATGTACCTTGGTACAAAAGTGGCACCCTCTAGGTCAGAATTTGCAACTGCAGGCTGCTGTAATTTTTATGATATGATCAGACAATAAACAAGCACCTGTTGGTAGTTAAAAATAATAATATTAATAATATTGTTTTATAGTTTTGGTTTATTATAAACAAACAAGACGGCGCAGCGCAGGTCACAGTCAAGTGCGCCTTTCTGCATGTCGGGGGTGGGGATGACGTCTGTTGCCATTCCCTCTGGGGTTTTGCATGGAGACGGGGGGAGAGGGGGAGGAGTGGCAGGAACCAACAGTCCTGAGAGAGTTATTAGTGGACACAAGACATTTTAATTGATGTATAATTTATCATGGAATTGCGTCAACTGTTCAGTGTCAGTATCCAACACGCCTGCAGTAGAAACTGTATAATATTTCATTAGAACGGCACATGCACATGAGCACAGAGGATTCTGTGGTTATTTTTGCAACAGTCTGGTGCTCGTTGCACAAAATTTAACCAGCGGATCTGACATACATAATTGTGCCTTGACATCACTCACATGAAAAAATTACCTGGTGCTTTCAAATGGCTGGTAAGAGACTCACCAGAGTAAAGGAAAGGCTGTCATTATTGGCTACTAGCTGTCGTGGATCAGCATTCTGCCTCGCTAGCATTGACTTCATAATCAGAATACATTTTTTCTGTATAAAAAACATGACAGCTGGTTGAAAAACGTACAAAACGTACAATAAAAGGGTCTGTATGATTTCAGAGACATTTATATGGGTGTGCTTTCACCAAATATAGTACCCAAAATATTATGGAACAACAGTGCGTTGACCTGTCGACCTGCTCTGAGCTGGCGAGATGCACTTGGCACCAAGATTGCTATGCACCGCTGGATTGGCATTGTGACACAATGGGCCACCAAGATAACAAACTGCTACAGTCAAGGAAATAACCTCAGTGTAGAGTCTACAGTTATGGTAAGGGGCTCCGTGGTAATGTTTGTTAATTAGAACTAAACACAGTACAGCTGAGGCTGATGGGGATATCATTAGTTTTACCAGTATTTGGTATTAAGCCAAAATATTAGACAAATGTATTTTGACCTAATGGTGGCACTAGATTAAAAGTCATTAGTAATTACAATTCTACCTGAGGGAAATATCAATGTCTGTATCAATCCATCTAATAGTTGAGACGAAAATGTCAACCTACTGCAGGCGGTTGATTAAAGGCAGGGGTTAGTAGGTCAGTCAGTAGAATTTATCCTCTGGGGACAATGAATGTCTGTAACTGTACATATATTTCAATGGTGGACTGACTGACTGACATTGCCATCCCTACAGCTATGGCACTAGCATGCCTAAGAAACACCTTACTTTACATTGTACCACAATTGTGGTGTCCAGTGTATGAAAGGTCTTAATAAACGTTTCATTACATTGCATGTGTCTAAAACACTGGTAAAAACTAAAAGTGACAAATGTATATGTTTAATATTAAGTAAATAATCTACAGGGAAAAAGTCACCAAATGCACCTTTAAATCAGCTCTTAAATAAACTGGTATACAATGAGAAGATGGTAAAACAGGAGAGATACTGTGTGGTCCTGTTAAACAGTTTTAGTTAAATCCCTTGATGCAGTTTTGAACACACTGAAGCTGATTCAACTCCTCTTGGCGAAGGCTGATAAACAGAGAGTTGCACTAGTCAAAGTGAGAAGAGATAAAGGCACTTATAATCCTCTCTGTATCACTAAATTTATGATGGTTCTAATTTTAGCAGTTCTCCTGAGATGGAAAAACCTTGGCTAAACAGGTGTTTAGCAACTCTTTCAAAACTACGGCTTGAGTCTCATCAGAGAGGCTGACTGGATATGTTTACTAAGAAGCAAAAACAGGTTGAATCTGGCTGGAAACAAAACAATGGGTTATATCTAAAGACAAATAGAAATTAATATTCATATTTAGTTTTCAAAACTTAATATGTCATATGGTTAATACTATTTAAAAAAACATGAAAAGATAAACACTGATGTATTGATTTGGCTTATGTGAGAAGTTAAGCGGCATGTCATCAGCAATGAAATGTATGTTTCTTGTTGCTCAATTAAATTAACTAAAAGAGCACCTACACTGATCAGTGGGTCAGAAGATATAAAAAACAGTTGAATTTCCTGCCAGTAAAGTAATTCAAGTAAAATAAGACCCGATGTAGGAATTGTGAAATATGATGCGATGTCAAGATTTCAAATTTGGCAATAAAAAAAAAAGCATTAATTTTGATGCTGATGTATTTTCAGAACTACACTGTGATCTTTAAGTTTAATACCATGAGTGTAAGTGAGTTAAAATATGAGCAACTTCATCATAATATTTACATTGTTTTGGAGTTTGCTTCTACCTAAAAACAACTTTGGAGCAAGTTTAAATATGAAAACTGGAGTTTCACTTATTGTGTGCCGTCACAATAAACAATCAAACTCTAGAGGAAAGTTGTCCGACTTATAATTAAATTTCCCTAAGCTGCTCTTCATTCTGCTATGTCATTTGACTGCATCTTTTCCAAACTACTTATCTGGTCTCATCTGGATTTTAGGCCTTTATCTTTGTCGACCACTCACAAGCCTCACTTGAATCTAACTGAACGCTGGGTTTGAGGCAAACTACAAATGAACAATTTCTTCAATGAGGCAAACTCATCATCCAAACAACATTACAGTGATTATAACAGTTAGCTGCACAGCGGAGGCTTTTGAGTCTGTCGGCACTGTTGATTGCTGAAGGGTAAAACAATTTCAAGCAGCAGTTTTTAATGTGGAAGTTGGAAATGTGCATGGTTTTCTTATAGCAATTAATAATTAGCCTCTTTACTGACCTAATAAGAAACTGTCAGGTGCAGTGACAGTTTATCCATGTTGATCATTAGCATATTATTTTAAGTGTAAAAGCTATGTTTCTCTGCAAGGACTTATTTTACAATTTTTTACAAGTGCAAGTACATTGCAGATATTTTGTATTCATTGGAAGGATTCTGTTACATTACACTACAATATCATATTTGGATATGTACATAACAGGTTGTGTACCAAAGGATTTGGATTGAGATATATTCAAACGATGCTGGCTGCTGTCGTCTGAAGACTAATATAAGCTTTTATGTAATAGGCTCATTCTAGGATTTAGTGTCTCTGACGAATAGAAAATGAAAAGCTATTCCAGGAGGTGGATTGGCATATTTAACTGATAAGTTAACCTTTCAAGGATTCAGCTAATTGAAATGCCAACAAATAACAGTTCAAATGTCAAACTAATAGAGAAGTTAAAGCCTCAATCCGGCATTTTTTGACCACATAAATGTGTCTATTCAAATGTATGATTAAAAACATTTTGTCTTACAGAGGAGATATGAGCATTTTGTGCATTTCTTAACTGATCATATATGAAACTATAGGTCTGTCTTCCAGCTGTACTAACAAACATTATTTATGTAAACATGCCTTTAACAGTATCAGGAAACATAAATACTGATTGTTAAGTATTAATTTGCATTTAAAAAGACCTGTCAATCAATTTGAAGGTGGAAGAAGGTACTAATCTTGTGTATTGATTTTTTGGTGGTGGAGCTGCCCATTAGTTTGCATTTGAAATGTGGATAGTTCCTTTAAGCTCTGCCTTGACTTGCAAACGTAATGAGTCATCAGAAAATGTAAAGTCCATATGTTACAGCAAGCCAGTGAGCCGGACAGACGTGACATTTTCAACAGAAGGATGATGGGAAATTACTAGAGCTGTGGTTCTACTGTGTACTAATCACTCATTCCTTCCTCTCACCCTCCCACTCCCCCATCCATCCACCCCCCTTTCTCCCTCCACTGTGTCCTACTCTTTCTCTGACGTCTGTAGTCAGATACCGAGTTCTGGGATAAGATGCAAGCAGAGTGGGAAGAGCTTGCTCGGCGGAACTGGCTGACGGAAAATGAGCAAGCGCAGATTCCCTCCAGTGTCTCTCCACATGAGAAGGTCACCATCACAAAATGTTATTAGCCTGTGTAGAAATGTGTCTGTATAATAATGACATCCTCGGTAGAGTAAATAATTCATGCCTGTCCAGTGTTATAATGTGAAATCAGTTACACGGTATTTTTTAAAGTGAAATGTGATTAGATAAATGTTTAAATAAAAATACACCTGACTCATACATAACTCCCAAAGTGGGGTTCCAATAGAAGACAGCACACAAACCTAACATTAAAATACAAGCTGAAAACAGAGGCCGCTTTGATTGAAATCATCATAGAGCTTTCTGGCTTATACACATGAGTGCTGTCATTCATAAAATGTGCAGGGTTAACAAAATTATTTTCACATCTAGTTACTTTTCACTTTAAATGTATTGAATGATCAGATTTATTTTCAAATTTTCCTCCCATTAATACATATGGAACATTTTGGAATAGGATGCACTGTATATCCTATATTCTATCTATGTGTATGTGTATGGCATCATGATATATGATATATAAGACTGTTGGTGGGTTTCACAGCATATGGCCTAGCAGTATATTTAACCGATCCGCTGAACTTCTTATATGACGAAATCATACAAGATCAGACTTCTGGGCTTTCTGATTGATCCCAGTGCAGAGCTAGTTCTTAAAGAAAAAGCTGTTTCAAAGTCATCGCACTCAGAAGCGGTCAACAACACACCAGGGTAATCACAGTTTGAAAATGCAAAGTTTAACATTTAAAGAGAACAGACAAACCCCGGGGAGCACAGCCCAGGTTTGATGTGAAGCAGAAAAGATCAATTCCTGCTGCTGGAGCTTTGCTTAAATATACAACTGCACAGGACAGTTGCCCTGGTTTGCATCTGAATATGGAAGAGAGAAACTGACATTGCCACTGTCCCTATTTTTTGTTTGTTTGTTTTTTTTTTTTTTTCGCTGACAGGGTTACTACTTCCACACAGATAATCCTTATAAGGACTTGCCTAACGCATATGAAGAGGGACTAAAGAAGTCTCGAGAGGGAGACTTGCCAAACGCTGTGCTTTTGCTGGAAGCAGCTGTCTTGCAGGACCCTCATGATTCAGAGGTGAATTCATTTAGCCCACACATGCATACACACGTCAACACACACACACACACACACACAAACACACACACAATACTAAAGAGCACACTTAATAAACCATGATCTGTTGCCCACCACATGTTTCCATGCTCATGCTAACACACAGAGCAGATATGAACCCCCCAAGCTTATACACATCCTTAGGGAGATGGAGCCACAATTATTGTATTTTTACATTGTAAAAGCAAATAAAACTGCAAGTCTGCACCAGTCAATCCAGCTGGAGTAGTTTTGAGCTCAAACTAAATCCAACCGCGATGACTCCACCTCGTGTTGGGAGAAGCTAGAGAGGAAGAATGCCTCACTGACCACAGGCTGTGTGAAGCAGATTTAGCAGGCTGCACCCACAGGCTGGATGTTGATTGCCTGTAGAGGGCAAAGAATTTTTTTCCCCCCTTGTTAAAAGAGTTGTTTACTGTAGCAAAAATACTAAACTTTTTCATACTCTTGATGAGAATTTCCATTTGCCCAGTGAGCTGAATAATAGCTCATTCTGCAGGTTTTTCGTCCTTTTTGTATTCTCCCCGTTTCAAAAGAAGTGACCTCTTTGCAGGCTGAAAGAGCAAAGCCTTCATACAAAGTACTTTCGGAATCCCCTGGAATATACAGAAATGTGCCAGTTATTCCGAGGAGAGGATTATCCCGCGGTGTATGGAACTAATACGATTCCAAAATTCTTCCTAGGGCGCTTAGTGGCTTATTGCCCCACTGTGAAGACCTCTGAATCATTCAGAAATAATTTCGACCCTCATTTCAAAGAGTGGAACAGAAAAGCATCTACAGAGATTAGCTTTAGAACAGGTCATTAAGTGTGCCCTTACAGACACAAAATACAGAAGAGTAATCTTATAATCTTACATTTTGGATTTGAGGTTACTTATATCATTGTCTGCCCTCTTGTGCTGATCAAAGGTACTTTCTATTTGCGTCTCCCTGCCGAGGACTAACAGTGGCACAAAGATCAACCGCAGTGCCTCTCCCACAGTCACATTCAAGGTTTACTGAGCAAAAACTCAGCAATGAATAATCTATTGGTCGACTGACAGAAAATTAGTGTGTATTTATTACTGGGTTTAGTCCTAAATTGAAATGTTTCAAGTGAAAATCCCAACACTGGCTTCTTCCAGCTTCTCCAGTGTGAATATTTGATGCTTCTGTTATTTTATTTAACTGTAAATGAAATATTTGGGGGGTTTGGCACTGTTGGAAGGACAAGAAATCTGACAACGGGCTCTGATTTTTTTCCTTTTGACATTTTATACTATTTAACACTATTGATAATGAAAGTAATCAATTGTTTCAGCTCTTATATTAATTATCTGGTGTACTTAAGCACCTTCAAATAAATTTAGGCCTGCAACTAATGCTTTTATTTCATTTAATTTGATTAATCTGCCAATTAACTCTTTTGATGAAATGTCAAATAGTCCCTGATTAATTTTCTGTTAATCAACTAGTCCTGCAGCTTCCTTCCACCTTCCTGAATTATCACTTCACTTTTTTAAAGAGATAAAGCAGTATGTCAGCAAGTCATATCTGAACTTCACTGAAAAATAAATGGCTCTCTTGGTTGATTTAATGGAGTATCTGAGTGTATCTAAGGACAACCCTCCAAGCTTTACACTTTTTAATCATAATTGCATGCACTTTTGTTTGACCTCATGAAGGTTTTACATCCTATGGAGTTCTGAATTTTTAAATGCACTGCATTGTCCTCTGTGGGGATGTGTCTGAAACACTGGCATCATTCACTCTGTGCTGGATCACACTCATTGTGCCTGACAGACGATGCTGAGCCACTGTAACTCTGTTTTAGCCCCTGGAGAATACCGGCTATGGAGTCCAGGTTTCCACCCTGCTGTTTACTGTTACCTGTATTTTATTTCCCTGCAGGCTTGGCAAGTATTGGGGACCACCCAGGCTGAAAATGAGAATGAGCAGGCTGCGATTGTCTCCCTCCAGAGGTAAAGAGAAACAACTGCATCAAATTCCCATTTAAAATTAAAAATCACCGTCAGACATGGCGGAGTTGTCAGCTGTTACTGCTCGGGGACACCATATGTTTGCACAAGTGGGACTCTGTGGAAATGTCATGTTAAAAGATGAAGCCCAGTGTATGAAATTTGCCTGAGAGGTTTCAATGAACTTTTTGGCAGCAGTCTATTCAGCAAACAACTAAAAATTCTGTAACGTAAAGATTTGGTATATTTTTAGTCCCAAGAAGAACATGATTTTACTTTACCAACCAGCGACTGGAAGGAAACATATTGCGATTTTTATTCTTAAAGTAGAGACACCCCACACGGATGGTGATTTCACAGATCCGGGGTATGAACAGAGTCCTCAATGGGAGGTGGCCCACTTTCATTCATAACAGTGCTGAAGCCAGAAATTGCACCTATCTGGGAGTGTGAACACTGACAAGTCAACTGAAAACCCAAGAGACAGCCATTCAGGGAAAAAAAGCCTCCTTCCTTTTTTAAGTGCAACATAGAGGGTCTATTCTGTAAAATAAAAAAATAAAACATTTTAATTGCTGCTCTACTTAAATGGGATTACAAAGGCTGTGAAGAATTTATTTTTCAGTTCTTGCTAGAATCTCACTTAATCCAATAGACTCTTAGATTCTGAAACTCCATTCAGATTTCGTGTCATCTGCACGGTGTAAACTTCAGTTTGTTTATTATGTAATAGCTCCATCTGTGAGGGGAGTGTTGGGGTATGAAGTGAGATTAGATGTTTACCTGGCATTAGTCTTGTTGTTGCTATGCTGGCAAAACTTCAGTTGGCAAGCACAATGTTATCCTGCTCTATTCGGGTTTCTTCATCAATTGTATTAAATAATGCCACACAAACATCTATTATCTTCCACTTCATTTTTCTTTATTTTGTCATGATTATTTTATGCTTCACTTTTGATGGTCAAGACATGTGAGCTGCATCTCAACAGCTTCTGAAGGGGAAAAAAACATTTTCTGAAGTGATGTGAGGCAAAACTGTGACTGTGGTTATTTAATGGGCAAGTCAGCTTGGTTCTGTACACAAACAAATCTGGGATTGTCCCTGGAAAACATGGTTCTCTGGTCACTCTGGACTTGCACAAACACATTCTTGTAAGTGTACAGTGGATTTGAGTGGATTTACCCAAGTTTATGTAATCTTTACCTCGAGCACATTCAAGTGGGGGACTGAAATAATTTGGTTTGACTGAGATTATGAGGGTTTTAAGGAAGTTGGCGCATCAGCTGTAGCAAATCTGGCTTGAAAATTATCTTGATGAAAGCTAAATCTTGTTTTGGCCTCTCCTCCAGTCTCTTAAATTATCCAAATTGTTCATCCAACACAGTGCTGCTCTTCTCCCCTTTTCAATTACAAAGGCCAGCGTAAATCTTAGTGGCAGTAGTCCCAATGATATAACCAGTGATATAACTTTAGTACTCGAACACACTTTCCATCTGTGGCTCTGGAACAATCACCATTTTTTCCTAAATGTAAACCAAATGTAAATAATCTAACCATGCGGCTGAGGGTAGCATGCAAAGCAGGAGAGGTGCAGCTCATCCATTCTGACCCAGAAATCATTAGCCTCCGCCTGATGTTCACTTGCTTTGGCCTGTCCCAATTAATGCCTGTCAAATCTAGATTTCCCTTTGAAGTGAACACCTTACACCATCTCTTCTCTCCCATGACCGGTGTCCTTTCTCCATCCAGGTGTTTGGAGCTCCACCCAAACAACCTCCCAGCCCTCATGGCTCTGGCAGTGAGCCTGACCAACACTGGTATGCGCAATGATGCCTGCGAAGCCCTGCTCCGCTGGGTGCGACACAATCCAAAGTACAAGCACCTGCTGAAGGGCAAGACCCACCTGATGGGATCCCCAAACTCCCAACGCAGGATGTCTCAAGCTCCCAACACAGGCAGACACGAAAGGTGGAGTATTTAGTCTAATAGGCAGACAGTTCAATAATACTTCATGAAAACAAAGTTTAGAGCGTTTAGCTGTTTTGTGGTCTAAGGCTGAACAAGCAACAGGGTTGCTCAGATACGACATTTTTAACATCCATTTATGTGGGACTTTACCAAAAAAACCTGGAAATCATCTACCATTGGCCACTGGAAAATTAAAATCTCAATTTCATTAAGCCAAGATTATATTTGTACATGTCCTGTATTGTCCTGGAAGTCCAAAACCCAAGGATTTTCAGTGTAAATGTCATAAAACAAAAAAGAAGCAGTAAATCTTCACATTGGCGAAGAATTACTGAAACAATAAATTGTCAAAATTGTTGCCAATTAATTTTCTGCCAAACTCTAGTGGACAATGTTGAAAATCAATAAGCAGGACTTATTTATGTGAATACTGGATTTTGATATGATTTTTTGACAATATGATGAAGTACTTTGATTTTTCAGGTATTTAATTGACTGGATTAGCCATACTAAACATGCTTGTCTAGGGTGCCTGGTTAGCTCAGTCGGTAGAGCTGGTGACCCATATACGGAGTTGCTGCGGCCATTTGCTGTGTGTCATCCCCTCTCTCTCTACCCACCTTTCCTGTCTATCTTCAGCTGTCCCTATCTAATAAAGGCATGAAGAAAAAAAAAAAAAAAAAAAAAAAAACATCTATTAATAGTTTCTCAACTGATACTCCAGAAAAGTATAATATCATGATTTATACTGATATTATTACTATACTATATATCTGAGACAATTGGTGATGATATGGATGTCAAAAGTAAAGTGGAAAGTGAATAATTTGTAGCCATCTATGAGTTTTAAGAGTCTTAAACAGTTTTAATTAAGACATTAAAATGCCACAACTGAATTTCAACCTTATCTAACAACTCAGGAGTCATTGAGTAACTGACAAACATATCATATATCACATGCTTCAACATCTTTACCAGCCATTTCAGACTCTCGTTTGTTTTACTTAAACTGCTATTACTCTGTCAGGGAGTGCAAAAAACATATTTCAAGGTTTCTCAACCACAGCTGGTGTTGGTGTTATTTTCACTGGAGAGACAGCATACATGGAGCTACATGTATCCGTCTTGTCAAACCACTTACTGCTGTAGAAGGCAGACCATCTAGGCCAGAAAAATGAGGCTGTTAGGCATATCAGATTGAAAAAGCCTAATTATTCTCCCAGGTAAAGCAGCACAAATAATTAATCGTCTAGTCAATGTGAAGAGATACAGGTACATCCCAATTACTGTGGTCTCCCCTGTCATCCTCTTCTTTTCATTTCTGCTGCTTACACCATCCCTCTCTCTTTGCACTTCTCTCCCTCTCCTTTTTCCTCACTCTAACTTTCCTTTACCCTCCCTGTGTTTGTTATGACAGCCTAGTGGAAGCTAAGATACTAAGGGAAGATAACATAAAGGGCAATCCTTATCTTTACCCAAACGCTAAGGACCAAATGACCACGGAAGCAGAAGGAGCTGTCTAGCTGTCATTTGTTTAATTTTTCACTTTAGTCCACTGGTTCTCGAGCTGCTCTGGGAGGACATACAACCACTGCAGAAGGAGGCACACATGACAGGAGATAAAAGTGTTCAGTGGAGCTTAAGCTGGATGAATCTGAACGATAAACAAGGAAGCAAGACTTTCAAGATTCAGCTAAAGCAGAAATGGTTATGGAAAAATATTTCATATTTGGCTCACTTTGATAATAGTTAATCAAACTACTTTTCAAAGCAAACTACTTTTCAAAACAGCTACTTTTTTCTGTCACAACCAAAACAAAATGAAATACTACTGGCCCTACTTTTACTCATCTCTCTGCAATTTCTCGCTTTTCTTCTTCCTTCACTTTATCTCTCCTTTACCCTCCTGTCAATATCTCTCTCTCGGTCTATTACATTCCATGTATAAAAGTTGACATGCAGTACAGTGCACATCATAGCTCTACGATCTTAAGAGCTCTTCACTCAGCAGCCTTAAGTCACACTAATCCTTAGCTGTGTGTGTGTGTCCACAGCTCCCTTCAACCCGAGGTCAAGGAGCTCTTCCTGGAAGCAGTTCAGCACAACTCTGACAGCATCGACCCGGATTTGCAGACGGGCCTCGGGGTGCTTTACAACCTCAGCGGAGAGTTCAACAAAGCTGTGGAGGCCTTCAATACGGCCCTGTCAGTGCGGCCCGAGGTAGGAACCACACACACACACACACACACACACACACACACACACACACACACACACACACACACACACACACACACACACACACACACACACACACACACACACACACACACACACACACACACACACACACACAGCGGAACTTGTTAGAGGCAGATGTGCTCTGCAGGCACAAATAATGTCATTGGTCCGTTCAAGCCTCAAGTCATGAAAGAATAAAGTGGAAGATTACCTATACTGTAAACGGACAAGAGAAAAAGTTCAGTATACTGACTTACTGAGAAATATATTGAGGATTCCTATTTCCTGTATATTATATAATACATAACAATATATTGCTTTCCTTAAGAATATATTTGAGTAATAAGACAAAAGAGAGACTGACATACAGTATGGTATTGGCACTGGTGTTGTAGATCACCACATAACTTAAATAGTTTGAGATATCAGTATTTTGAGAATTCTGCCGCCATTCAGTACTGTGCTGGGCTTTCAGTGACAGAGATGTCAAAACCAGCCTGACCAGCTGACTGTAAGCTGTGGCTGGTGAACACACTGGATGTACTGGTTTCCTTGCAGAGGCAACATGTCTGACAGCTGGTTGACTCCAGCTGGCACTCGAATGTGCCAATGATGTAAACTCTGCACATTTCATGAAACACTATTTATGGATGATCAGATGCTCATTCAGATATTTACAGCTGATACATTTTACATAATTTTCACTGCTCATTTTTTGCCCGATGTGAATCCAAGGAGGCTGATTTGTTTGCGAATCCTTAATGGTGGCTGTTGATAGGTTGATACATTACAGGGAGTCATGCAACATTTCATAGTATTATGATCTTCACCAAAATGACCCCTGTTACAAGGTTTCATTCTTCTTCAAAACATTGTTGTTGTTTTTTCATTTTAAACATTTAAAGTGAAACTATGAAAAAAATTAAACTTCTCTGGACATTTCCCTCAGATTGTGTATTTTGCAATAATGATGTTAATAAAATAGTGGTTGTGGTAGGAGTGCCATACGACGTGAATATGAATGTATTAGCAAATTAATGTTCATATATTAGACCTCCATATGTAGAATATACTGTATGTTTCTTAAATACAGGACTCATTATAATCCTTTACATTTGTAATCTTGGAGGGTCAGCATGCAAACTAAAATGAACTTACTAAGATATTACTGCTGTTTCTCTTCTTTTTGTTTAAATTGTAGTAAGAGAACAACAATATGTGCAAAAATAATATGAATAATATTGGCTACCTCCTACAGTTGGTCTGTTGAACACTGATTTGACCACAGAGAAACACATTCAGGATCTAAGATCTGATAAAAACACACACACACACACACACACACACACACACAGCGGAACTTGTTAGAGGCAGATGTGCTCTGCAGGCACAAATAATGTCATTGGTCCGTTCAAGCCTCAAGTCATGAAAGAATAAAGTGGAAGATTACCTATACTGTAAACGGACAAGAGAAAAAGTTCAAATCTGCATCTTATATCAAAATGCAAAGAGAAATCATTTTTTACTTTCTGTCATCACTTATTGAACAAGTATTCAGTATACTGACTTACTGAGAAATATAATAATAATAATATAATACTAAAGAGCACACTTAATAAACCATGATCTGTTGCACACCACATGTTTCCATGCTCGTGCTAACACACAGAGCAGATATGAACCCCCCAAGCTTATACACATCCTTAAGGAGATGGAGCCACAATTATCAAGGGAGAGCTCATGCAAACAGATGCAGTGAAGCAAACTGTATGTGCAATATGTGAAGCAAGGAGCTGCCAAATCTGGCCTCATGAACTCTTGACTGGCACACATACACTCTCACTCATGGCCCAGCACAAGAGTATAGCAAGATCTAGTGCACACACATTTACAAAGAAAACTAAAAAACAGATTCTGACGCATATTCAAAACACTGAAATGCACGCATTTACACAACAAACAAAATAAACACACACATACAATTACAACTACAAACTTTTCCTCCATTTCTGCATCTCCTTCATGCAAATCAGTCTCTGTCCTCCGAGCGCTGTCCCAAGCCGGCAAGAATATTACTCACTGTTAAATCCAACCTCCCACATTTGACTTGGTAATATCTGCTCCCCTGCTGGAAAAATGGTTCTGAACACAAAGGGAGATAATTATATCCCACTGCCGGGCTTAGCCAAAGATGAAGGACCCCTATACTGTAGCAGACCATGACCTCTGTATGTGCCTGTCTACCTGCAGGTGGGAAACAACAGCAAGGACATCCTGTATGATGTAATCAACTCTCCTTAAATTACCCTTGTTAGGTTACTTCATAGCAGGGAGCTGTGTAACGCCCCAAACACTTCATTGTCATCTGTATATTAAAAAACCCCAGACAATTCTATCTCTAGCACTGCTTTGTAATGCTGTCACTGCAGATACAAAGATGAGTGTTGTGTAGCAGCTCAGATTATTCAGCTCTGTTTCACTTGCACCTTTCTGTTAAAGACACTGTCAGCTACTTGATCGGTTCTGAAAGCATTTAAACTTTAAGATATCTGAGGAGATGTTGCTGATGAATTTTAAATTCCGGCTAAAAGGAAAAAACTCTCCAGTGTGTTTACTGATTAAATACATCTGCATGCAAGCCACGTTATTAAAGCTGGCAGCATCTGACAACACACATCAAAGGGAACTTTACTAAAAAACAAATCTTTCATCTTCACCCTCTGACACTGCTTATCCCTCAACCAACCCCACCACTTGTCCCCCATGTAGGACTACTTGCTGTGGAATCGCCTGGGGGCCACGCTGGCAAACGGGGATCGGAGTGAGGAGGCGGTGGAGGCTTATACACGAGCCCTAGAGCTGCAGCCGGGGTTTATCAGGTCCCGCTACAACCTCGGCATCAGCTGTATTAACCTGGGGGCACACAGGTAAGTGATCTGGGGCTCCAGGAGAGTGCGGCAAAACTCCTACACTTGTTTTATGTAGTGGAGAGGAGCTACTTATAGCACCCAGGGAGGAAAAAGTGGAAAATAACTAATGCAGTGAGCTATGTACAGAGTTGATATTTGGAAACAATACAGTGTAATCTCACGACTAGCATACACCAAACCTAGCACAGCATGGATTGGGAAGTGATAATATAACATCAGGTATGTGGTATCTCCTTTGTGCAGATCAGGCACCAGCTGTGTATGTTAATTTCCCAACAAAGCATTTGCAGCCATTGAAGAGGATATACAATCTAGTGAAGTGAGATGAATAAATAGACTCACCTGTTATACAGCTGCAGGCTAAGTCCTTTCAACTATGCAGCAAAACATACACACACGTTCAAATTAGGGCTACAATTGACAATTATTTTCATTAACTAATCTGCCTATTATTCTCAATTGAACAATTCATACAAATGTCCAAAAATAGTGAAAACTGCTGTAATAAATTTCCCATTGCCCAAAGTCATGTCTTCAGATTGCTTGTTTTATTCAACCAACAGTGCAAACCTTAAATATAATCAGATAACTATCATGTGACAACAAAAAGGCTATCTGGAACGGGATAATGTTTCTGCATTTTTTTTCTTGAAAAATGACTGAAACAATTAATTATTAAAATTGTTGCTCGTTAATTTTTCGGCTGAACAACTAATCGTTGTAGCTCCTAATATAAATCACAAAAATCTGTGATGTGGAGCAGACAGTCTCTGTTGTATGTGATGAGCAGATGACCATCAGCGCATAACCTACATAATAATATCATAAGCTTGGTAACATTAATGATATATTCTATTGAGTGTAACCGCAACTGCTTTTGTTCAATATTTCCTCAAATGCTTGGCTGATTATAAAAAGGTGTGGAGAAAATATTCATTTGTGTGTGACAAAAGCATGAAGCCAATATTACATGTGTGGGAAAAATCCAAGAGGCAAAAAAACAATTGAGCCCTTAGCATTCATAATACTCAATCATTAGTTATTCATATTTCACAACTACCTTAAAAAATAACATCACCGACTCCATCCAAAAGAAAACAAGCCCCCAAGAAATCCGTTCAGTACATACAGTACCCTTATGCACAAAGCAGCAGTATATAATCAGAAATTAGTAACCAACAGAGGCCAAGACATAGGCAAACCTGGCAAGCAGCCACAGTAAACAAGCACACAACCCTCATTTAGTATGTTACAACAACAGACAACAAATACTTACAGAAGCTTGGTGGAGAGAAGCAGTGACCCTCGGCATCTCATGGTGGGAGAGTAATTAATCCTCATGGAAGAGTTGCTTCCAGGCTGGAGGCAGTGCAGACAGGAAAAAACCCTCAGGGTTGAAGTGACTGTTGAGGATAACAACGGTCGACCAACTGGAGTCTCTGTTGGGCCACAAACACAATTATTCCTTTATAAACTTCACGAAGCTAATGAAGGTTAGGTAGCTGGTTTGCTTATCAAATTGAATGAAAGTAACAACAGGAACATTTAGTAGCTAGCTTATCAAATGATATGAAAGCCAAAAAACTCTCTTATTTACCTCCAGTGGTACCTGGCCATATGGTTTCATGTGTCTCTGGGATGTCTGCCTCTTTCCAAATACAATAAAAGTGACTCAAATGGGGTTTGAGGTGCTAACAGCATTAAAAAAGTACATTTTACAAATTTAAATCAGAGTGAGATTACCAGCGTTCATCCTCACTCCCACAGGTGTTTTCAATATCCTGGCTGATTAGCCCTCTGCTCCACTAATAAGAATCCTACAGTTGTGATTTGTCCCACCTAACAGGTGTGAAAAGCTAACAGATAAATCAGGGAGATGCAAACATTTGCACACACCTACATAGCCCTGCCCAGGCCCAGTCACACCAGAAAGTGGCACAGCCGAGTTCATTTGTTCAACCTGGCAAAATGGGCAATGCTTGAAGCTCGGTGATGTCGAAACTGCTTATGAGACTAGCGGTAAACTAGCTGCTGAGCTAACCTTGAACACACTAGCTAGCCAGAAATATGCAAGTCAGTTGTAACGACTTTCTGAGCTAGCTAGCTTGCAAACTGTCATTCTAAATGAGTAACGCGAACGGGACAATAAGTTCACATAATTTAAAGTTGTTTTAAAAGTCTACATGAATAGAAGCAGATAAACATCAAAACTTTCAAAAAAGATTTACTTCAGCCCAATCAGAAAATGCACTGATTGTAGCAATTCCATTTAAATGATTTTATTCTCTTTTAAATGCTGGTGTGACCAGGCTGTAAGATGATGCCTAATCAGTCTGAAGTGTTTGGGTGTAGGCTACCATGAGTGTGCAGAACGGGACTTGAATCAACCATTGCGAGTTTGCTCAGCGCTGCCTTAAAACAAATTGATTCCTATTATTTTTGCTTCCCCAGGGAGGCAGCCAGTAACTTCCTGACTGCCTTAAGCCTTCAGAGGAAAAGTCGGAGTCGTCAGCAGTCCCACCAGGTGATGTCTGGAAACATCTGGGCTGCTCTGAGGATAGCTTTATCCATGATGGACCAACCTGAACTCTTCCAGGCTGCAAACATTGGTGATCTTGATCTTCTCATGCGGGCCTTCAACCTAGACATTTAAGGAATGGGAGGTAGTGACAATAGCATCTCTCTCTCTTCACTTACTCTTCGATTTCTACCCAACAGCCAAATCCCCAAAGTGCACACATCAGAATGGGTTGGATCTGATGTTAGAGACAATTGTGTGGTTTTTATGCACGTCAAAATTAACTACAGTCGTCAAAGTTGTTATATTTTTCGCCCAAGTACCTTGGAGCAGTTCAGAGGACAGGTTCTTCCAAGTGCTTGAAGTGACTGCTTTGTGATGGATTTGCACTGCAATTTGTGATTTCCCTAAAGAGCACAAGGACGGGCAAAGATTGTACGAGCAATGCCTTAGAGAACACATCAATTAAAAACTGACTCATCCAGTGGAACAGAGCTAAGCCAGGAGAGAGGCAGACAGACAGTTTGAGAATCTCACAGAGGAACCCTCACATGCTGTTTGCAGAGAAAAAAGATGAGGTCTTGAGGAAAAAAAAAAAAAAACGGTTTCGTTATCCAATTGCTTTCAAAGACTCAAGGCTGTCTCACCCTCCTGAAGGATGGATTTAGTGAGAAAATGATAAAGACTGCACCATATGACCTGAAACTCCAAATTCTGTTCCTGGCTTGTTTTCATCCTCTTTCAGTGGAGAATAATGATACTGCATGAATAAGCATTTTCATAAATGGATTCTTGTTTAATATTTAACATACTTTTAGAAGTTTTCCCTTTGCACTTCAGACAAACAGATAACTTCCTCAACCCAAGTGGAATGTGCAAGCCAGGTTGTAAAGCCTTACTCAAATGCATGCGAACAACATTTATTTATACTATTTGTATGGCAACACAAAAACACAAAGCCATTTTCAGTCTGGTTTTAATTTCTTTAAATAACTGCCGTATTCTGAACTTGAAAGCTTTCTGAGCCATTCATTTGGTTTTGTTGGGTTTATTTTTTTATTTTTTGGTCTTGGCTCCTAGCTTCTCTTTGTTCCCTTTATTCTGACTGGTTGGAGAAATTCACACAAAAGCTGGGCAACACTGATCCTTACAACTTGCATTAGTGTGGAAACTTTCTCATATGAAAAAGTTGTCGCAGGTCTAAAAATAGCTCTTTCATCTTTTAGCTCCTGGTACAGCTTTAGTATCCCTCACATTTGATGTACGCATCACACTCTCCTCTACTTTTCCTCACTGTATTTATTTCAATACAGTATAATAACATTTCAGATAAAAGATGTGTGGTTGCAAGCCTAGACCTAGAAGAGCTTGGGGTATTTCTTAATGCAGTCATTTGTATCTTTGCCGCACCTCCACAGGCAGCGAGGCTCATACATTTAATTAGATCAGTTTGCCTCAGCCATCATGCATGATTTAAATATTTATGTAAGCTTGAGCAGAATGCAGTACATATTTGAAAAGCTGTTTGTTTTACCATCTGCAAACTCCAATTTACATCATAATAATACATTAAGTTATCTTGCATCCACAAAACACATGATTGTAAGGAGCCAGTCGGTCTAGAAAATTCACCTCAAAAGCAAAGCTTTTTTCTTAAAACATGCTTTTTGGCAAAACAGCTTCTCTTGTGTCACTGTTGCAACTTTGAAAGTCACTCTGTGAAGTGAAGACCATGTTCCTCGCTGTACAACAGAGTAAATGATAGATCAGCTGTACTGTATAGCTCTGCACCTTGGTGTTTAACAGGCGTGTCTACAGTCTGGGTGTGCTGTAGAAAGTAGGTTTTTATTCTCAGATCCTATGCAAAAGGTCATGTTTTATGTTGCCATTCCCGAATTGTCAGTTTGTCCCCGTCTGCCTCAGCGGACCAAAAGGAAGTGGTGATTCTGTGCTTCGAAAGAATGCTATCAGGGGAAAGCAGAGACCAGTACCAGAGCCATTCATCTTCCAAACTGTACAGCTTTGATGTCATGGTGGTCTGTATAAGAAGAAGTGTTTCGTAAGGAAACCGGGGGGAGAACAAAAACAAGTGTTCTTGTTCAAGAGAAAAACGTGGTCAGTGATTCTGAAAAATACAGATACACAAACACCGTCCACCTAAAGTGTAGCCTTCCTGTTTTATAACCCTGTGTTGTAGCGATATTTCTCTGACCTCAGTTGCAATCCCTGAATTCAGTGTCGTACATCAAGCTTTGCTATCAGATACATGTTTTATTTCACCGGTCTGCCGCTTATGTTCTCTTTGAAACTCACCTTAGATGCCCTTTAAGTAGGAAACTCTCCTTTATAAGTGCACAACTACAGTAGAAAAATGTTATCGGACCATTTACATTATCCACTGGCACTTGTAACACGAGTATGATTATATTTCAGGCTGAAACAGACGAGTAGCTACAGCAGTCAGATACTTAAATTTTTTGGCAGAGAGTCTCTGTGGCCAACCGTGATGTTTAATAGATCAAGGAGGCAGAGGAACCCAGTGAGACACAGCACATATGTGCACGTCACTAACAATCTGCAGTGGATGGAGGGCTGATAGTGGACTGCACAATGGCAAAGGCAATGAGGCCAAAGCGGAGGTGGATGCACAAATGTATTCACTGATTTTATTATGATAGAAGAACTGGCAGTGTCGCTTTTTTACTGAAATAATATGGTTGATGTGCAGTAGTCCATCAGTGCCACCTTGTTGAATATTTAATTATCATTAAATTAATTAATAAATAAGTTATTTTTAGCCATGATAGCGCCACAGCTTTATAGAGCTGTCTGTATATCTTGGCAACTGTTGGATGGATTGCTGTGGAATTTGTTGCAAACATTATTGCCCCCCGCAGGATGACTTGGAATAACCTTAAAGTGGCAACAAGCAACTTTTATTTTTTGTTGATTCTGGTGGCCTTTGTGGACAAAAGCAGTCTTTCCACCACCTTTTGTTTCATTGATTTCGAGGGGATCTTCTCGCCATCTCGTATCTCTTGTTTGTTTATTTAAGTCTGGCATCAGTATTACATTTAGACTGTTTAATAACCAGTTTTTACCATCATGTCAAAATCTAAATTTGTCCAATTATTGGGTTCCTAACGTATGAATGTATGCCATAGCTGTATTTAGCTTAGTGCTAATGAGAAAATGTTAGCATGCGCTCCCCTTTAACTCAGATGGTGACAATGATAATCATTGTATACCTGCTAAACATTAGCATGTTAGCATTGTCATTGTGGGCCTCACAGAGCAGTTTGCTTCTATGTTACAGCTGCACAGCTACATCTGTTTCAGCCGAGTGTTTTTTGCTGTTGACATCCACCTCAGTCACTTACGGTGTATGTGCTAACGCTGCCAGCTAGAGGCGCACTGGGCCAGCGCCGCCCTGTGGGTATTTCATTTGTATCAGATCAGAGTCTCAGCATGTCCAAGACAAGCTTCCATCCTGTTTTCTTTCCATAAACAATAAACCCAACCTTTTTGTAATAGTTCCCTGAGAGACTGTTGAGAGACATCGCAGTTATTCTAAAAGGCCAGTATCCCTCCATTTTTAAATATGAACCGTATTCTGTCCCTGGTCCTCCCAGCTGTCTTTTGTGTCAACAGTGAACCGTAGAAACTCCAAAACAGGATGTCTGTTAAATTGTGATTTCCAAATCAAGTCTAGTTTTCTTAAAAAGGTTGTAGGCCTTCGCTTTTTGCATTTCAAGATACTGTAGTTGTGTTAAAAATGAAAACCTATTTTTTTAAAGAGACCTTAAATTGCTGGCTTAAAATCTAATTGTATGTGTACAACTGTGCACATCGTACTGCAGTGCATTGAGATAGGATGCCTGGTGTTTTCTTTTTGTAGAACCTACCTACTACTGTACCTTCTCAGGTGAACTGACCTAGCTTAACGCATGCTCCTGAGGAACAGATCGAGGTTGACCGCATGCTAGATCCTCTACATTTATTTTTTTGAATGCTATCTTCATTTGTATGCATGAACTACATGGAAGTGCTTTCTCTCTCTCCCACCATCGTATAAAAATGAAATATATCATGACGTTTCCTTGCAATATTTCTACAATGCACTTTTAAAATCTGTAACCTTGAGAAAAAGTGATGTATATATTCGGTATATATTCTACACAAGATGCTTTTTCTTGCATAGAGGTAGCGAGTGTGCAAAGCTCGAGCAGAGAAATCAAATACTTGAGCTTGAATACTGGCACATTGATACAACTAACTAGTTATAGTTATATTCTGTAGAAATTTTGTAATTACTTCTACAAATTATAAATGTACTGGTAACACTTTTAATGACCCCAGCATATAAAGCCATCTACCTGTTGTTAGGGAAATGCTTTCTTGTGTTGAAACTTGATCATGCTTAACATCAATTGTTATGCACACATCCATAAAGCCACTGTAAACTATTAATAGTTTCCTAATGTTGTATAAAGCATTACAGCTTTGTTAGTTCTGGTTACACATGTAAACAGATGTGGAGTTTGATGTCTTTTATCAGGTAAAAACAACATTTAAATCACTGATATGTTCAGTACCAATTTTACACAGCTTTGCTCATAACGCTTTACATATGGAGAACTAAGGTGTTTCATTTTTTTAAGTGTTTCCCGGTTGATTTTTCAATACTTTCCAACAGTATAATAAATATTTCTAATGATAAAATCTATTAAATTAATGCAGCCAAGACCCAAATAAGCAGCAAGACATCGATGGATGGATAAGCCAAATAAAGAATACATTAATTTAAATCACTTAGTCAGTTTTTGTTAAAACTGCCACCTGTTATCCATCATCAGTGAGTTTCCTCGCTGCTGCTGCAGTTAGCAGTAGTGACAGTGTTAGCTACAGGTGTGATGGTGCTGAATGAAAGGACTGAACTGCCTCCTGTGGCACAATCTACTGTCGTAACAATCCCACTTTCAGTTTGTAGGTGTGTAACGTCACCTGACAACCTGCAATCTGATACAAAAACACTTCTAACAGAACTGCCTACAGCAGGCAAGAGACAATATTTAAGACTCTTGTAAAGACCTTTTAAGGCCTTTGTCTTTCCTGTGGAAACTCAATCAATCAAGAGTTCAATGCTTTTTTCAAGACCACCAGATATCTTGTATTTATGTGTTTCATTTTGAGCACTTTAGTTCTCTGTATTTATAAAGCATTTGTTATTGTTTTTTGAGTGTGGTAATAACAACTTATAGATGTGTTTAGTCCTCTTGCATTAAATCAAGTTCTCACTCTATTAAGTATTGATAAATTGTTACTACCGGCATCATTGGTTGGGGTTCATAAAGGTTATCAGTACATGTTGTGTACATTTCTTTCTTCACTCCTTTGATTCAACATATGTACAAAGGCAGTTTGTTCTGGTTTATTTATTGATGCATCAGATATGTATGAATAAAATGATATTTTGATGAATGAACTTAGAAATTAATACTTTATATACAGTTATTCATTTATTTAAACACCTACCTATAATGCATATTACTCTCCCTGTATAATCACAAGGAAAGCATTAGCACCTTTGAAACTTACAATATGAAAGTAATCTTTTAAAATAAACTGTTGTTATATATTGTTTGCTTGTGCGTCTTTATTTTTCTGAAAGAAAGTCACACTTGAACTGCAGTTTGTTGTTCATTCTTAAAGAAGCCAAGTCTCAACAAAGGTGTAGTTTATTAAATTATCCAAACCTCGTAAGTAAACAGTGCCACTGAGTATACTGTCATTACTCTATTCACATACACCTAAGCCATATTTGGATAAAGGCATACATTACAAAAGTCAACTTAAAATAATCCCTTCAGGAAAACTATGTAATGAAAACTACAGAATTGGCACAAACTTGTTTGCAAAAAAGGCAACAGAGTAAAAACAGGTGAAGAACCTTTTTGACATTTAGTTAAATGAAAAAAGAGAATAAAACGCACAAAAGTACATTGTACAATCCAAATGACTAAATGTCAACTTCTAGTGCACATGCGGACAGTGAAAAAGCTTTTTTGTGACAAATTGAACCATTACGTTTTAACAACGTAGAGAAAAAAGAATGGAAGAGACCCAGCTGGAGGGAAAGCTGAAACAAAAAGACAAAAATACAAAGACGATAACGTAACCTGGAGGATGTGGGGAGAACAAAAGGTGCAGAGAAATAAAAATGGCACAAAATATCTGAAGGAACTTATAATTAAATATCCTTAAGAAAGACGAAAGGTTTATCACCCATCCACAGAAAGACTGACTTTAGCAGGGTTTGACATGAAGATACATTTGGTTTCTGACAAAAAAAGTTTTTATAGGAAGAACGGCAGAAACACAAGACTTGCATAGAGAGACTTTTTTGAATTCTCTGCTGCATAGACAATGAACACTGCAGCAGTTTATCAAGTAGTATCTGATGAAGTTGATGGGTTGAAATATAATAAAACTCAGTCCAGTCTAGGCAGAGTTGTTAAAGGGGAGCGCCACTGAAAGATAAAGATTTTTTTGTCTGTAAAGACATTAGCCATCGAGGAAAGTGTGACTGATGAGATTGCTGAAAGACATTTTTAGGGACAGTCATATTCCTTCACTATCTTTACTACCACAGTTGTTTAATAGATATGCAGTAAAATGTGTCTCCTTTTTCTCTTTCAGCTATCTTAAGAAATGTCAATTTATTGTCCTCTCCAGAAACGAGAGGTAATGATTCCAAAATCAGCTAAAAATTGAACTATTAATAAGGTATCTACACACAAAATCTATTTTCAGCAGAACTCCCCTTTAAAATATGCACCTGGAAGCGCAACATTGAGTGACAGACAGTTCGCCGCACGTCAGGGTCACCAAACTGGAATTAAGCGTTTGTGCACATTGTAATATTTCACCGGTATGCAACAGATAGAAGCTGATTCAAGTCCAGTTCCACGTAGCTCACGAGTTTAAGTTGTAAATAGAGAACATAAACCATAATGCTGAGAAGTTGTTGACAATCAAAGGCTGTAAATTCACTAATATTTGACAAACAAGTACGTCATATCTACATTGAATCTGTCCGGCACATTATGAACATACTGAGTAGATAAATAAGTACAGAGTCAGTGGATAGTGAGCATGAGGTTATAGTGACCAAACAGCAAAGGGCCAGTTTCTACGTCCACTGTAGCGTCTGAATATTAAAGCTGAACAGGAGGTTTTGGTTGCAGTGAGCACCATGAAGTAATACATTCAGTACTGCAACATGTCTGTTAGTACAAGAATGCACATTTTAGAGGAGATACAGGTCACTGTGCAGCTTTTGTCATATAGTAGAGAGTTGGTTGTGGTGCATATATTGCTTGAGAGGTGAAAACAGTTTAGATGCATAACTGAATTAACTGACCTGCAAAAAGTTGTAACAGGTCAAGGAAAACATTCATTTTAACTTTTGGGTCATAGTCTGAATCTGTCAGCGTGATAAAGGAACCAAACTGGACCGGCTGCAGCTATAAGTTAAAGTTTTGCCTACAATGCAAATATTTTGCAAATTGGGCAAACACAATTAATGACATAAGTTCACTCCGGGATTGAGGACACTTCATAGACCAATGGCCACTTCAAGGATTTGCAGACTCAACAGTACTGAAGTTGAAATTTAAGATATCACATTCAATATCTTATAGCTGGTGAATAAAAAGACCACTTCAGCAGCATCAGGTGCAAAATATGAACTTGTTATAGTCAAAAGGTGCTTTCAGGGAAGGTAAAATACTTGTATCTTGATAACTCAACTGAAACTTTCTTATTGAAAAAAGCACATCATCTCCAGATAAAACGGGGGCAGGTTTGAGTCACTGTACTTTTAACTAAGCTAGATCCTATTTGTGGCCTTCCTGGTGCTCTCCTTCAGTCTGAAACCTGCATACAGTATGTTGGTAATTTCTCTGTGTCCAACCAAAACATTTTAATTCTTGGTGTCCTTTTTAATTTCCTGGGGATGAAAAACATTCTTTCGTATTTCAATGTCAAATGCAAAAACCACCAGCAGCACAGTAATTTCTTGTTTGTTGTTGCAGTTTCAAAGCATTTCAGGGCTGGCAGTGAAGCACTCCCATTTCAATATACATTTATAAAATGTACCACTTTGAAAATCCTGGCACAGTAGCTGAAGGCATAGAGGAGGAACAATGAGATTTGATATGTGACATTATTTTGTGTACAAAGCACTCCAGAAGTGGAAATTGCACAAATCCCTCTGTACCTCCACTGTCGAGAAAATGTCTTTTCTTAAACACAAACACTGAAATATACATTTAAAGCACGACATAACACGAATGCACGATAAGCACATTGCTTTCCCTTTCTGACCAGTGTTCCTGGTTGCTTGAATGACATCACAGTCAGGCGAGCAGCTGGTCTGAAAGGTTACTTCCATTGTTTCCGCTGTGGCTGTTAATAAAGTTGTCTGCCAGTCTTTGGGGGGGAACGACCGCGGTTCTTTAAAAAGGTTGCATGGTGGTGGGGGCGGTAACTTTAATTTAACTGCTAGACAGTCGATGGTAAAAGTAGATGTAGCCCAAGTCTTTAGGAGGCCTTTCTGACAAACACACTTTGTGGTCGTTGTAGATCACCCACCTACAGAAAGAAAGAACATTTGTGGATAATGTTGATTTTACTGCAGTGCGAAATGCTTTCAAAGTGTTACTTCTTTCAAAACTGACTATGAGGAAGGAGGAAATGGGTCAATTTATTTTTTCCATTCAGTCTAAAAAAACAAACTGTCCCTGCAATTTTGAATAATTTATTTTCAGACTTCTGGTGGAAAAAGCTTAATAATAAAAGTAATAATTGAATTTGTTTAGAATGTCTATATTTGACATGAAACTAAAAGGCACTGAGATCAGACCATTAACAATAGACACTTGTGTGACTAACAGGAACACAATGAACTGAATGAATATAAAACTGTGTGCAACTAACCTTCCCTCCTTTTTGATGTGACAAACATAATGTCCAGACATTGTGGATGCTCCCATGTGGCTGATGAAAGCAAAGAGCTCATAACCTGAAAAAGGGAACATCAAGTCAAATATAGAATATGTGATAAATAACACAGCAGGGTTTCACAACTAGTAAATGTCAGACACATATATCTGTTACACAACTTGTATAAATGAACCTGTTCCGTCGACGCATACAGAGCCTCGACTATAAAGAGTCTTTTAAAGCCTCCACACAGATGGAGACGATAAGCTAAAATGGCAGTTTCTGTTTGAAATGCCTTCACGTTACAGATCAAGCACAGCATACGAAACTAATCAAAAAGATAAAACATACAGCTATATAATCATCCAACATTAGTTTTTATAGATTTTCTCCGCTTCAAGAGCACACAGTTTACAATAACGACCAGTAAACAGGGTCCTCTTGTGGAAAGGACAGCTCAGAATATACTTCTGCAAATAGTGAAGAGAATCATTTAAAAATGAAAAGCCAGAATGTCTGCGTTGCTAAATAATCCATGATTTTCACCCTCAATATTGCCTGGTTGTTGTTTAAACGCTATTGGTATGCAAGTATGTATGTGCATTATTATATTGTGCATATTTTTGTGAGGAGTGTTAAGAGTTAAAAAGCTCTTGAAACATGTTTTTAATGCCACTGTGCTTAAAGTCGGTCTGGCAGGGCAGGTCAGTGCCCAGCAGCACCTGAGTACACTGTGTATCAGTGGCAGACATTAATTGGAGCTGAGGGTAAACCGCCCTGTGAACGTTCATAACACACAGGTGAAATTAAAAAACAGGAGGCAGAAAACCTGCAATACTTTTTTTATTTTTTACGCTGACCCTTTGTTAATTTCTTGGTAATGCAGATCTTTGTGTTGTAAAATAATAAATAATATGCTGATTCGAAATGTGACTTGTAAATCAACTGATCACAGACAAAGATTGATAAAAGTCAACCTATTATTTAATGTACTTTCAGATAACGGTTAATAATAAATAAAGTCAAAACAGAAACAGCAGCTACAATCAGTGAAATCACTCACGTCCTGGTCCATCTTTGACCCGCGGGCCCGACGTGTCTCTGTCTGGAGACAGCGTGGAGTCGCTGTGTGAGTTGGCATTGGAGAAAGCGTTGTCGTTGGGCTCTGTGTCAGCCATATCTGAGATTGCGTCACTCTCCTCCTCCTCCGGGTGGGTGAAGATCCAGTCGAGTGCTCGCTCTAGGTTATTGTTCTGAAAGGACGTTTCGAGTTTATTACTGAAGTTCACTGAAATCCCAAACTAAAAATGCCTTTACTATGCCAGTAATGAAAATTTGAAATGAAAAACTTTTACTGTTGGACTCCAAAATCTGGTTTAAGCGATTTCATAAAAGCTTTACGTTCACTGTTTTTATGTACTGCCCTTTCCTGGGAAAATCCTCTGCTGCACAGAAGCTGTTGCATAATATGCTAATGACAAAAAAAACTACTAGTTGTAACAAGAAATATTAGCACATTGAAGACATATGGCCTACAGACACAATGCATATGAGGACAAAATCAGGCCTGAGGATAAAAAAAAACTTTCCTATCCTATCTTGTTTTCTCTCCATTAGTCCTCTCTATTATTC